CAAGAGAAGCACCAGCTTGTAAGCTATTCCCATAATAAAACTTTGACTTTGACTTTGATCAAAGACACACTTTATTGCATGTTGCTTTGGTAAAGTAAGCACCGAGTGTTTGCATGGTTTATATCAGTACAGGTAGTGGTATCTGATTGCTTGCATCAAATTGAGCTAAGAATAATAATAACAATAATATTATTATTAATGTAATGTGTCTAAACTGGGGAGACTTAGAAAGGTTTGGAATAAAACGTGAATATAAGACCTCAGATACATCGCATAACATGAAGAGCCTCATTTACACTTTTTCCTGTTCACCATAAATCTTCCTCCCAAACAAAAATGAAGTTGGGCACGGGATGATGTAATTCAAAGGAATTCTCAAAAGAATTTCGTGAAACTAGGCCCCATTGGCTCCTTTATCACCACTCGTCTTTCCATTAAACTTACTTTTGTCTGCTCATCCTTGCCCAAGAAATTTCACAACGGCTCGCCCCCAGCTGTCACGTGAAAATTGGTTTAGTTTGAATGCAACTCGGTGTGCATTTGCTCCAACGGTGATTAACGTAGTTCACTGTGCTGCCTATCTTACAGTTGCTTTCAATGTGGAATTACAGGCGTTGCTTCATCTAGGTTAGCTTAAGTTACGAGTGACTTTTTACTCTTTGCCAAATTTTAGAACACAGACACTCCATTCCTAGACCCACGATTTCTGCATTCCACGATCTGAAAGCCGCATTCGACTAAGGCACTGCCTCTCTCTGAAGAGTGTATCCGAGACGTTTATTGCACTATTGCGATCTCTTTATACTAACAGCCGAAGCCGACTCCAGGATTAGGGCATGTTTTCGCCCGAGTTCACCATAGAAAGTGGTTTTCATCAGTATTGCCCTCCGTCTCATTTTTTGTTTTACTTCGTTATAGATTTCATCATGGAATTAGCTCTATACCCATACGAGGATAGCAGCATAGATTTACTCCCAGGTGGTAAACAGTCTGATCTGGAGCATGCAGTCGACATTGTGTTACTAAGTGATGATCCGGGTAAGTTGCAGGATTTTCTGCATAGCTCGAGTACCATTTTAGCTGTGTTCACACCGTCAAAATGTAAAATGTAGATATAAGTTTAGGTTGACCCAGCCCCCAATCTCACTCTAACTGGAGAAGTAGTAGACGAAGCAGAAATCAGTTGAGCATATCACCAAATAGATTTCCATAGCATGCGATGGTTGCCGAGGCAGGCAATCGATAGGAATAGGCCAGGGGCAGTAAAACTAAAATTTAGCATGAGAATGTGAAAGCCCTAGCCAGGAGACTTGGTCATATAGGCCGCGTTAGGCACCCTAGATGAAGACCTCGGGATAATAATAGCGGGTGGTTAGAGACACTGAGTGATAAAGCTGTGTCATAAAGAGTGATGCTCGTGCATCTGCTTATTATTCTTGCAACCCCGACATATTTGAATTCCTATGTTCTCGTTGACTATGCTTTTGACATTCCAATCTTCCTTTTGCTCTTTTATTACAAATAAGGTAACCAAAACTGCGACACAAAAGCAAGTGGTTACCAGTTAAACTGAAACTGAAGATATATAAGCAATATATTAGCAACTGCTGTGGCATATTAATGAGACCACCAAAGCCTGTTTAGAGTACAATGACTGGGCGATGGGTTACACACGCCACCGGATGGACATCTTCAGTGTTCAAAGCAGGTTGGGTTTGGAGAAGATGTCAGGTTACGACCAAGCATCAAGATGTGAAAATCATGGCCCCATCGCACGGTTAGGGTACGATGTTCATTTTACAACCGGGGAGTCGAAGTTGTTCAATTATAGTACAGGTTAATAAAGTTCCATTTGCCGGCATGAGGTTTACATCATATTGTTTAGCACCACACCACGATTTCTAATAAAATAAAGGATAATAAATGCTTTTCATATTTTGCTGATACACTCGAGTAGATCTTACAGAATATCTGTACAGTTCATCAGAATGAAGGTTTGCTTGGGTTGTGCTTTGTTCATCACAGTCAAATGTGATGTTGCTTGTGGTTGGCACACGTCTGCACGAGAGAAGATGAAAGTGAACGCGTTCGAGTAAGATACCAATGCAACAGCTGTGACATTAATATTTTCTCTCATTCTAGACCAGATATTCACTAAAAGGCATTTGCGCCCCTGAACAAGGTAGGAGCAATTCGCGAAAGATTTTCATATTGACTGAAATAAAAAGTACGGGAAAATTCGGATTCAGTTAGTAGGAAAAGGATCACTCACACTGTGATCGACGGCTAGTTTCTTGCTTCAGCATATCCAACAATGACGAGGACCAACATTTCGGAAGTATATCGTCATCTGTAACAGGTAACGCAGATTAGCAAGAACATCAAAAAGAATGTGTCTCTTACCCTGATCGTCGGACAACATGTTGTAAATAGTTCTCATTATTTCGAGAACCGCGTTGATGACGCATTGTCTGTTTGTGCGCAACGCGAGATTGTAGGCCTCCTCCAAACATATCATACTAGCTTGTATATTTTGACCGCTAGTCACAGTTCGACAGGCAAGGAGTGCTGTTAATTGAAATTGAATATTTTCTTTAAAATAGCAACCGGTCAAATGTATAGGATTATGACTTAGGGAAACACAGATAATAATAAAGCTTGAATCGTCATAATGGACATGGAAAATTTTGCTACGACAGAGGATGCGCTCCAAGGGGGACATATCCAGTAAAACTATATTGTCTTCACAAATACCAAAATGAGCAAATAAGAGTAATGAAATGTTGTTTGCAGTTTAAAGAGCTCGTACACATCCAACCAACTCAAACACCCAATGATTAAAAATTCCTAAACTGAAGTTGATTCAAAGTGGGACAAATAGAATGATTTCGCGTGCTAAGTAATGCCCGGAAGTGATATACCTGTGCAGGCCATACAACGCCATCTTGAATTGNAGATGCAGAAGATTGGTTCAAATGTCTAATAGACTATATGCATCATTAAATGCATATTGTTATTAGGTCAAATCGGCCGAGATTACGTGAAACTCACCAAGTAGTTCCAATAAACCGACGATAAAATTTTGGTCCTAGGCATATAGAAAAGTACCGATGGTTCACATAGATTGATTCGTCTGGACCAACTCATGTTTCAGGCTGTATGCGCCTGCCGAATAAAATTGATCGCAAAATGAACAGTACTAAAGGAACGCTCTCCTGACTTTGATGTCGCACTGGCAACACCTCAGAACTCAATAAAGTTCAAACTTTTCTCTGACATCTTTTCCCATCTTTCAAGAGTTTTTACCATTTGAGTAGTGTCTCCAGATTTAATTAGTCTCTAGCTCTGTTTTCACCGCTGGAGTTTAAATAATCAAGTTTTGAGTTGCACTACTGACAATATAAAAGTAGGCAAACATTACAAAGGTTTGATAGAACGGCAACAGAAATGAACGAACATGACAACCTGATACGGTAGCCTCCAGCAAATTGCCACTTATCGCCCATTGCAAACATTCTGCCTCTTGGGCTGCCATGACGCAGTTGCGACAGTGTTTTAGGGCCTCGCGATAATCATCCATCATTGTGTAACACAATGCAATCTGATAGGAAAGCCAAGCGTATTCTTCTCCCTGTATATCCGTTTTTAAACGTTGCGTCCAACTGCAGTTCAATGTAAATCAAGGATCAATAACAAGGATGTTTTGGCCGGATTAGAATCAACCATAACTCATAGTTCGTTGTTGTTGTGCTTCATAAAATATGTGATCATGATAAGAATAAAAATGTTTGTCCCATGAATTCGTTGACCGACCAAACTCCCCGGCATTGGTGACTGAACATCCTTCAGTTGTCGGTATACTTCTGACGAAAATCTGTTCGCGCAGTCAACCATCTCAGGAAAATAGCAAGTAACTTAATCTCACCTGACAATTCTTTTATGCTTTACCTCAGATTGAAACTGCTTTGTTGTTCATCCAAAGTCATATATATCTAACGATCTTCATAGATATGGTGCCAAGGTAACTATGGGCAGGAAAAAGCATGGCTAAATGCTAGTTTCTCAATGCAAGTACTTGATGCAATTGGTCGTAGATTCAGGCCATTCATCGTTCTACTCAACCACCTGATGAATCGATGAACCGTGATAACTATATACATTAGAGGACAAATTTGAATGAATGATACTTAGTCGGTACTGAGACAACCTGAAACAAATTGTGAATCTACTTATCTCAACAACCTTGTTCCCACGACTAAAAGGGTTGATTCACTGTTTTTCCCACATGTCTACATTCAACCTCTTCAGTATGAGTAAAGTGAATAGCGAAACGCCTTTGAGGATTTATCTTTTCAACGTTATCACAATAAAACTGGGTTTCCAAACCCCTGGATGGAATACTGGGAAGATGTCGTTTTATGTATCAAGACAATACCTAATTCACTGACTGATTGAATGATTGACCGACTGACTGATGGAGTTGACTGACAAATGAATTAAGCAATCAGGTCAGCAGCAGGGAGTATATTTACTTATTGCATGTGTAACCCCACGAATACAAAACCAATAACTTCAATCTACGGCGGGATTAATTGATGATGTCAACTGTGCGGTTTTATTCTATGAGAATATATATATATATGTATCTTCTTCCTGATAAGAATTTGTTCTAGTGATAAGTAATTCAG